TTGGGCATTACACACTGCGATCACAGCTTCAAGTTGGGTTTTGAAAGCAGAAAAGGGATTTTTTGCTATGAAAAGGATGTGATATTGAGAAAAGATGAAGGAAAGACAGGTTGAAGGTGTGCTTGGTGTTTGACTTAGTTCTGTCTTCTGCTTGTAGGTACATCCGTATGCATACTTTATTTAGTGGTGTATAATTTAACTATGGTTTTGAAGTTTGTGTCTTGCAATAGACATATACCGAGTAGAATATATTGCTAAGAAACAAAATCAATTCAAACCGTTCCGTTCGCATGCTTCATATAGTTGTCTCTTGTATTTCTCTTGTCAAAATCCGTTCATATTCTTAAATGCTGCCAGGGGGGAACAGGGCAGCAAAACAAGCGCTCCATACATCCGCTTTGCTTTGCCTCAAACAAGCCCGCGATCTGTAGTAGGTGTACAGATTTCTCGTATGTTCTCAATAACTAACTAACCTACTTAACTATCCCCGACATGTCGTCAGTTGTCACCAACAACAGGAATTCCCGCCTTCTATTCAGGCAAGTTCTAGAATATCTCCCGCTGTACGAATACATACAGTACCCCAGGATATCCCGTTTGCCACGTCTATACATAGTTACACAATCTCCATGTTTAGGGCTGTCAAATTCTTCTCTCTAAGATCTAGTGGATGAGGAGGAAACTAAAAAAGCTTCATATATACAAAATTCTTCATGTGACAATAAATAGAACGCCGCGAAAAGAAGAGCTATAACTCAACAGCCTGCCTATGTAGACATTATGATCATATTAAGCATTTACTCCTCTATAATTACTCTCTTATCTATTCATTCTTCATTCGTTCGTTCGTTCGTTCATTCATTCATGCATACATTTCATACATCCATACATACACACATATCACAGTTGAGGAGTACAGCAGCGCAAAGCCAACCATTTCTATCCCGCTCATCAAAATAATCCTTCTGGAAGTTCCATGCAGCGGCAACCCACTTTTCAGCAAGGTCTGTCCGGCTAACTATTTTCTCATTTCTCGAACATCCCTCCCAGTTTCGCTTGCGAAACTAGGGAGCTCTGTGAAATCCAAGCCAATCACCAATGCTGGTATCTCGTGTATTTCATCCGTGATTCCACTGGCAGCAACTACATACAAAGCCTTTTCCGAAACGTTCAAGCTCGTACGAGATAGAGTCTCTCCTCCATCATCATCATCATCATCATCATCTCTTTTCTCTCATTATGGGAAGATGACATTGGCACGGTACAACTTGTTTTATTACTTGGCTGATTCAGCCTACCGTAACGTTAATACATGCGGCGTAGCTACTACTGGGATCCTTCGCGGGAAAAAATCACCTCCCTGGATAATCTTCAGTTCTCTCTCCTTCACCCTCCTCCACTGATTTCCCTGGGTGAATTCATTCAGCCTTGCCCCGAGGAAAATCACATCATACTACGAGGAGGCAACGCTTTATACTTTCTCCCCCTTTTACGGTTGAAACAATATCTTTCCCCACTTGCCGGACCAGCTTATTAATAAGCAGATGACTAATTAACTATCCACAACCATAGTTACCATGATAACATCCAAGTCAGCTCATGCTGAAAGAGAGAAGAGAAATTAAATCCAATGACGGATATCCTGCGAAGAGTTTTAATCTCCCGTTAAAAATCCCTTTAATTCAATATCCATTTCTACTCTTCAGCATAGAGTATCAACGTATTTCACTGCGCGGCCTCGAACATTTACTCACGTGATATAAAACTCTATCTAAATTCTTGGCTTCATCAGATAGGGCTAATTACTACTGGTCCCAGCCGGCAACGTAGATGCAAGCCCTGTCTAGGGTGTTGAATTTTCACACAAATTTAAACTTCATTTCCCTTATGCCGCTTCAGGAAACTTGTCACTCCCAATTTAGGTCTGCTAGATTCTGAGTTCCCATCTTCTCATCTCTTTTAAGGAGACGGAGGAGGGTTCGCCATGCTTCATACAGTGAAGAAGGTTCAAGGAGGAAGGCCACATTTATCCATGGATAAGAAGAATGCACTGTACATGAGCAGCTTCTTCAGAAGGATGGAAGGTTTTGTTTCTTCAAATCAGCAAAATATATTTGTTCTTAACAATCAATAATACAGACAATACAGTCATGTAAACTCGGAAGAAGATCATTACAACTAGCCTATAGCAGCTGCTTGCTGACTAAGTCTCCGAGTTTGAATGGCTTAAGCAGTCGAAGTAACTAATAGTAGTTATTCTAGTCTATACGATATCACATGAATCGACTTTTGACCTGGCAAAAGGACCCAATCGCCCCGTGGTCATTCCCTGACAGTTGTCTCCAGGCATATTTCAAATCGATCGTGGTTCCCAAAACCTCAATACGGATGAATTTCTTAGCTTGGGGTGTTTGAAGGGGGCGTGGTGAAGATCCGCGATGGCCGAGCGACTTTCTCTGAAGCGGCGCATGGTGAAAGATGCGATTAGAGTCGATTGACAATGAAGATGTCACTGCGCGCGAAGCGGGTTGAAAATATCGGGATGTCTCTATTGAGTCTATTTCAGACAGCAGCGTTGATGCGGAGATGACAGAGAGGGGGACTTGGCTGTTGGATGATCCTGATCCTGATGAGGATGAGCACGCTTTCATGTATGCTTTCATTCTTCTTTTCGATTTTGTTTTCTTCTTTCACCTTAGACATCGTGCGTTATGCCAAAATGATTTTCAGAAGTTGTAAAGTGTGTGTTTTCTTTTTTGGGGATCTCTCGACAGAGTAGAAACCCAGAAAGCTTGATTCCTTTCCTTTCTTCCCATGTTATCGATGACTCACCCAGAAATATAAATATGGTTATTATCCGGATCGGGAGGTTAAGTTTGCGAATGAATAAGATCTCATGCTCCTTGGTGTTAGGAAGGTCATTCAACTTCTGCGTTAGTTTTATATTATTTACCCACACAAAAAGCAATTCATATTAACATAATCAAATCCCAGATTTCCATCAGGCTTCCCAGGAATACCAATTCCTCTAACGATTAAAAAAATAAATAAATAAAAGTAAATAATAATAATAATAATAATAATAATAATAATAATAATAATAAACCTTCCGCCCTCACCGTAAACCAATCCAAACTCGCACACCAGAAAAATTCCCGTATGCGACTACGTATTATACTACGGGGGCACCAGAATACAACTGCTCCCCATTCTTCTTGAACTCAGTAATAATCTTCTGCCCAGAAGGACTAGTAATCCACTGAGCAAACTTCTTCGCTATCTCCATGTTATTCGCCTTCGTTCCAATTATCAAGTGAGCCGGGTTCAGCAAGGGATCATTAGCGTCGTCACTACCAGCTTTGAAGATGGTGATCTTGTCATGGATTTCCTTAGTCACAGAGAGGTATGTGCCACGGTCGGTGATGGTGTACTCCTTAAGCAGTGCAGCGGCTGTCAGGGCCTGAATGGGATATGAGATGTACTGGTGGTACCAGGTTGAGTATTTGGTTGCCCATGGGACCTTTTAGAAGTTTTAACTCTTTTAGTAAATGTGATTTAAAGAAGCATGACTTGATTCATTCTGATCATTCGGATAAAAACAAATGAGAAGAGAGACGAGAAGCAAAAAGAGAGGGAGGGGACAGGCCAAAGCATTAGACAGAGACTCACCTGCCCAACTGAAATAAACAGTTCCGAGTCCTTAATATTCGTCGCTGATTTATCGAATCTCGTCAGAAACCTGACCGGTGGGTCCGCAATCCCCTTCTCAGCCTCCATAACAATGGTAGAAAACATCGCTGGGATATCCCACTCTTTCTCCAACTTCGCCGGATTGGAGGAGGGTCCCACAAGCATGAAATGGTCCCGCCAGGCATAGTAGCTTGGACTTGTAGCGATACCCTGAGCAATGGCAATATTCTCTGCCACGGGGCTATAGGTCAGGGCAACGTCGATATCGCCTGATTTAAGGTAGTTAATGGACTCGGTGGTATCACTTTTGTACCAGGCAACTCGGAAAGGGTCGGAGCCACCTTCGACGCATTCATGGATGAAGGCTTCGGCGAGGTCTTTTAAGAGAATGAAGGGATACTGGTTAGATCGGCCATTCAATTGAAAAAAATTGGGAAAAGGGTAAAGATGATGGTTTTTCAAAGTTGAGGTCGGGGGCAATCATCATGTATGTACATTTGATGAATCCATTTTGGCCAGCACCACCATTTCCAATTCTCAAAGAAATTGTCGCATTCTCTTTAAACCCGCCATCGTACACTTGTTCGGGCTCCACGGCTTGGACCGCTGTAACTGCGAAATGTAGTAGGTATGTCAGAGAGTGTGTCTTGATGAAGGAACGCATGTTATTCTTCTTGTTCTTCTTCTTTTCCGTTTCCTCCTCGGGAGTTCAGAAAACAGAAGATATTAAAGCAAAAGAGAGAAAGGAGAGACAGATCAAAATCAGAGAATAAAAAAGCGAACGGCGATAGCAAGGGAACTGGCGGTAAAGCAGACTTATACCAGTGCTTCACCCTGGCTAAGGTGCTACGGACTTTTATTCCTCGTCACCATGTTTAGCTCACTCGCGTGCAACTCGCTCATTAGTGAACCTCAAAAAGAAAGTATCGAGAAACGAACTATGTGAAAAAAGGGCGATCTTTTCTATTTAACGACCGTCTTAGCTCTGTGAGTGCAACTTCTAATCGAACAGGACCCAAAAAAAGGGCAACCATGGATCGCCTCAGAGCTCTGCACCGTGTTCGGTTAGCCCAACATTGACTTTTGCACAGACCCAAGCACCTTAACCGTGATAAGCTCACTATCCAAACATTGAACTGCCATACTCGGGAGCATTGCTCGATTGACCAGGAGATTTGCGGGAATAATGATTGAAACACCGGAGAAACCTTCCCTGCCCAGCTTTCCTCCTCTCCTCCTCGCCTATTCTACGTCGTTTATGACTCCGCTGTTTCGGCAAATTAGCAGAAAGGGAGCCCGCGCCCCATGCCCAAGCCGGTCCGGTATGCATTGTGTTCTGTGAGACCCCAGATGGTGTAGCGGCCGCAGATTGCCAGCCGGTCGAGTCGAGGATACCAAAATAGCGCTGTGATTTTTCCATCCATCTATTGTCGAACCTGAGGTCACGCGGTGGGCGTTTGGATATCTTGGTTATGGACCCGACCCACCCCACCGGAAAGAGTTGGTTGATGGTTTATAGTAGAAGGACAATGCGCCAAACGGCAGCCCTCGTACTAAGCAGTTAGCCTTCAACTGCTAGAGGGGGAAATAAAAACGAAGTCAACGGAAAATAAATAATCGAATAAATAAGGGTAGGGGGGGAGATGACAGATGATCGCAGTGGGCTGATTCACTTTGCGTTTGTAAGTTCCTTGAGCAATGCTATACGACTGTTAACTAATATCTGATCTATTCAACAGTAACAAACATTCAAGTGGTCCCTTTATGTTTTTTGGGGATATTGGATTTTCACCTGGGATTATAGGAACAGGTATCTTAGTGTCGATCCCTTTTAAGCATCTTTTTTTTTAAACCCTCTGCTGCGTCTGCTGCGTCTCTCCTAACAACGCAGGCATCGCATCACATCACACAAATGAAGGGGATCTGTCTGAAATGTTGCATGAAATATCTTGATTTCTAGTACATGTACAGAAGATTTTCAAATCAAAAGCGGTGGATGGCAAGATAGGAAAAGGGAAAGGAAATAAAAATGGACATGAAATGAAAAATAGATACACCACCGACCCACTCACTCCTGCTACAAGGAAAAGCTCTCAAGTCAAGGCAAAAAAAAAAATAAATAAATAAATTAGAGGGGAAAAATAATATCCACTTTTAACGATGGACGCCCGACGCCGTGGCAATCTCCTCCACAGAGCTCTGCGAAAAATCCCTCACACCCGCTCCACCACTCGTCCTTCCGCCGCGCCTTTGATGTTGGCCGTGAGAATGATGATCCTCCCTATTGTCCCCCGCGAAAAGTAGTTCATCACGGTCAATATTCTCAAAGGAAACATCACTCCGATTCTTCCTCAGCCCTCCCTCCTCATATTCATCGAATGCGGTCCCATACGCCAAGTCATCGTTACCAGGCGCATCCATGCGCAGATTCCGCTGCTCACGGTCAAACGCCGACATGAGCATCCCAAGCCTCTCCTTCTGTCTCAAAATATACTCCGCTTGCTCTGCTTTCGAGGCAGATGCAATGTTATCCGGCATCAGCTTACCGCTTGCGCTCAGTTCTTCAGCTTGCACTTCTCTACTTCCCGATGCAGATCCTGGCGCCATCGCAGCCGCGAGCAAGGAGAATAGATCCGAAGCTGGATTGGTCAATGAGGATGCAGCGGGAATAGAAAAGCGGGATAGAAGTGATTGTGCGAACGCGCCTGCTCCGGCTGATTGCGGGGGTGTCGGAGGAGCCACAGGTGCAGTTGGAGGGAGGCCCAGGACCTTGTCGCGCACCAGGTCGACAGCTTTGTAGAAATACTCGAGACCCACGGCTTTTGCACTGCGGTGCGCTTGGCTGATGAATTGCTCGATCTCACGCTCGTGGTGGAAGAGGAAAGGGTCGACGTAGCGTTGGTACAGCAGTTTGGCGCCTTGGGTTTGTGGAAGGACGAGGTAGGAGAGGGCGAAGAGGCGGATCCAACTGTAGAATGGGAACCTGCAGGGTGACATGGAGGGGTATGATCAGAAACGGATTGCGCATGCCTTTGTATGGAAGGGTAAAATGTATATGTATCACCGCACCATCCTACAATGAAGTAAGTCCATGATTCAGCCAGCAGGATTAGCGACATTACAACCCAGTACATAAGCCATGGCGCTAATTGGGTGGGATCGGAGGCGCGGAGGGCTTTGTAGGATGCGAAGATTGGGAATAGGATGGTGAGGACGGAGCTGTACAGAAACGCGGAGTTCTCAGTCAACATTTCAAATTTCAAAAGCCCCGATTTTTAATCCATCCAACTGATGAACGAATGCGAAGCGGCAGCTAACTCCGCAGAACCAGGTCATACGTATTTATATATATATATATATATATATGAACGAAGGATTGTAAATCGTATCAAATCGAAGAGAATACCCACGATAGTAAATCTGCAATTACGCCGAACATTGTCAAGCAGATCGCTGGCGCCCAAAGCAGCCAAACCAACCCGGTCTAAACAAAGAGCCCAGATCTTCTTAACTAGACCAAGCTTGGGGTAGGCTGAGAGTGGAAGTAATACTCGTTGAGCGGAGAGCTATGGGTTTGCGCTGTCTGGGAGCAGCCTGGTGCCGCGGACCGGGGCAGAGACGATTGTGGCTGGAGAACCCCCCAAGAAACTTTCCGCTGCAGATATACAAAATGTCTAGTTATTAAATAAACAGATAACCCCTTCTCATCCCTAGTCTGGATATTAATACACAAAAATGTATGTGTATGTCTTCTAGCTAGATGGTAGCGAAGGACACAGGTTGGATGGAGGTTATTTTAAGCTTGTTGGAGATGATTCAATATCCTGTCGTCATAAACTGGAGCTAACTCTGGTCCTGCCTGGCCCAATCGGGTAAGCGCGGTTTTTGTCCCATAGCGTATAGGAACTTGTGTCGGCAACAGAACCTTGGAAGTTTTGAAAGATGCCGTGGTTTATACGGAGATCTCAAAAGTCAAGGAGTAGGTATATCATCGATGGGTAAATTGCATGGGTGGCAGAACTACAGCTCTTATATAAAGTTTATTACATGTCCAGTAGCTGGTCCCCGCTCTTTAATAGTATACCACATTCAAAAGAGTACAACTCCGTTTTAAATGCAATAGAACAGCGCTATATACGTCCATTCATCCACCTCAGCTCTCCTCGGAAGACGAGACCGACTCCTTCTCAGCATCCTCTAGACTCTGGCTCTTGCCCAGCACAGGGTCACGAAGTGCAAGGGCAAATGCAACCAACAGCACACTCAGGCATATTCCGGTAATGCAGAGAAGTCTCTGGATGCCACGGTAGACATCTACCACACCATCCCGGATTGGTGTTCCGACTGGATGGTCCCCAACAAACTTGAATGGGTTGGCGTAAATAGTGCCGGCGTCGACCGCTTCGCCAACTCGGGACTTGAGAAGGCCCGGAAGAATTTGGTTCCAGATGGTTCCCGAGATGGCGTTTCCAAGCGCGCTGCCAATGTGATAGCAGGCTAGGTATAAGCCGGTGATAACAGCCACGTCTGAAGAACGACGTTAGCGGATTTAGTCTAGAGGGACTTTGTTCCCCTGGTTTTTAAATAGGAGAAAAAAAAAAGAAAAAAAAAAAAAGCAAGGGTGATGCTCACGTTCGTGATTGGTTGCAGCTTGGATACTTGCTTGAGCGGGATACGAAAATAAACCAGCAGCTACAATGTGAAGTCAGCCACGCCAATATCTTGAGGGGCAGAAAAGACTTCGTGCTGTCAGTGGCCTTACCAATTCCCAACAAAACTTGTGCGCCAATAACTCCTGAATGGTTGGCAGGACTTGTCCCGCCACGGTAGTAGATGAGAAAACCAAACGCCACGATGAAAAGAAGTGTTCCTGCAAGGATAATCATCTTGAGTAGCCGAATTTTAAATACTATTAACCCAGCAATACAACCCGTAATGGCAGACGCGAAACTGTACACAGAGGTGATACGGGTAGCGCTTTTGATGGACTCGTCGAAAGCAACGACTAACACAGTGAAGAGGAAATCTCCCTGGAGATACCAGGCTGTAAGTAAACACAGTATTAGCCTCCTACATCCCATATTCATTGATTCAATTTGTGTTGGACATACCAGTGTTTACCATCATAGCAAGTCCGAGGGCACCCCATACTGCGCGATCTTTCAGCAACTAGTTGAGAATGCAGTCAGTGATCTGAGCAGTTAGCGTAGAGCAGATTTAGGCAAAGACTTACCCGAAGTGGAATCATAGGATGTTGGCAGGTCTTCTCCCAGAAAACAAAGATGGGAATGCAGAACACCCCAATGACCAGCGGCGCAATAACCTTGCCTGTTTCCCACTGAGGCGTCACTCCACCGGCTAGGGTAAAAGGGACGAGAAGAAGCGCGAAGACTGCAATCAAAAGAATTACGCCAATCACATCCAATTGCCAGAATAGGGCTATTGCGAGTTGTCGGGCGCCCAGTAGCTGATATGGGCTTTTGTACTCCTGGAGAGCCCCAGTCTTCTTTGCTTTTCTGTGGACCATGAATAGAGACACAATCAAAGGTAAACAGCACACTATGGCCTATCAGTTAGTTTGTTCTTCACCTCCATATAATGTAAGTAAATCATAAATATTGGGTATTACCAGGGAAAATGATTGCCCACATTCCAATTCCTGCCCAAGTTTGGTTAGCAAAAGGCCATTTAACAAGTCATTACTCATGAAACCCAGAACATACCCCATCGCCATGTAGTAGAAGCGAGAACAGCACTGGTGACATCGCCGCTCACCCAGGTATTGATCTGTGATCGATTAGCTGCCGATTTGGATATAGGAGGAGGGTCTAGTAATTGTCGAGCGTACAAGGAAAGGTGTTGCGGGGATGTAGGAGAAAAGCAGACGGGATCGGAGAGACGTCGTGTCAGCGATAAAGACCTCCACCAGCAGCATGATGCCAGTATACCCAATCTGATAGAATATCGTTAGAATGAGTGATTGGAGATAATCAAATGTTGTGGAGGATAAAATTTAAATATGCGGCCTCACCTGATAAAGTATGGCGCCAGTGCAAAATGACTGCACGTTTACTGCGAACGTCTCGATAATCGTGCCTGCAGAAATCGTGAGCTAAATCCATAGTGGTAGAGGAGAGTTTTTCCTCGTGAGTAATGGCATACCGATGACATAAAATGCAATCGTTATAAAAATAACCTCCGTGCGACCAAACACGTCTGCGATTTTTGCGATTGTTGGCTACAAAACAAAATTTTCCGTCAGTATATTAACGGCGAAGATCGAGGCGAGGGAGTCAGCATAAAATAAAATACACATACCTGAGCAGCAGCACCAATAACCCCACGCAGAACACCCACCGTTGCCAACAGGCTGTGTTGAGAATATGATGCAACAGCGAGCGGCTTTCGGTCGTGGTCAGCACTGGAATTTGACAGATGCTACAAACTGAAAGCTTACCTGAAAAGAGAGTCGAATTGTGCCGTCTAATCCATAAGCGTAGGCGACAATGAATATTCCAAAAAAGAACAGAATGCGAGTCGATAGAGTGAAATGGTCGGAGATAATCTTGATGCGGGCAACTCCAGGACTTGTCTCTCCCAAGATCGCTAGCGACTGATCTTGGTTTCGTCGATCCCGGTTAGATACATCGTCCGCTTTCTGTTCCTCAAGCTCAATCGGTTGCGGAGGAGCAGCTTTCCTCTTTGCCTCCTCCATAACTCAGGTGAGGATGATACAAACCCACGGGACACCAACACAGAGTAATTAATGCGACGAAGACAGATTCCAATGGACAGGATGAACTGGGCGGTTTAACCGAGTGTAAACAGTAGCAATCCTTCTCAGCAAAGAAGAAAGGCAACCACGGTCGTCGACTCGGGCGCAGGCTTTCCTTTTGACAAGCTCCTGCAGCCCAGGGAAAGAGCAGGTAAAAAGAAAATGAAATGGGAAGAAATGGGATTGATAGCATTAAGAAGGAATAAGTAGTTGATATTATCTTTGGTAGATGCGCGGGAAGAGTTACACAGTCTCCGTTTATTATCAAATCCATATGATTCCCGGGACTATATTATTGAGAGATATCTTTCTTTCGTTTTTGTCTGATGGGACTATGCAAGGTTGTTGTGATCAGTTAAGAGATCGATAGAAAGTAGCCAACTAGATGCGCTAATGAACTGACGTCAAAATTGGCTTAAAGGAAGCCCATAGTCGGAGTTCCGCCGCGCTGTGACGATTTGTGGTACTGCTCATAAGAGAATGGATTTAATTTATCACACCCGGAAATTTGCCTGAGCTAGCCTCGTTTGAGCAGGCATGTAATTATATATATATATATATATATATATATATATATTTATACCACGGTTATTTCTGCCAAATGGTAACGATCGACTGGGAGCAGCGAAGCAAGGGGTTCACGGAAAGAAACCTTTCAATGTTCTGGTACATATTAGCAATTCTGCACACCAGACCAAGAGAAAGAAGTGGTCTGACTTCTTCAGTGTATCCACTCCGCAAAGACAGAGGAAGGACTGACCTCGAGGACATTTGATAACGGGTCCCCTCACGCGTGCGTCGCCTGCCGGGGACTGGACGCGATCGATGGAGCATCTTGAGTCTCGGCTTGATGGCCTTGAGTATGTTGCTCTTCAAGATGAATATCATCTATGATCTCTGTGACTTCCATCGCCCGCGAGAAGGAAGAAAATTTGCGTCGAGGTTGTTGGTGATCGTCGATTCCCCCATATATCTTAATCTAACCTCCTTCAGTCTTAAAACCTATTCAAATCCGTCGATCTTTCGAATTGTTGATGGGGGCAATAAGTTAATAGGTGTCCAGCAACGATCCTCTGCTCCAGGAAGCAGAATCTCAGCAACCCAAAATTGCTTTGCGAGCAACCAGCTAACCTCTTCTGTAGCCAGATAACTTAGTTACCCGGGGACACTTGGACCTCATGCAGTGTGAGCGTAGCATCAAAACTCCAGCCGCATCCAGATAATGATTCTCGTCACCAAATTCGAAAGGAGACAGGTTATCCGAAGGTTTGCCTTGATATACTTTGACATATTCTTCACACTAGAGCCAAAGCACAAGGTGCGGTAACAATTCAACAGTTAAGCAGCAAATTTTTTTTGGCCCCTTCAGCCATGAAACAGAGACTGTGAAAGGTGCACAACATCTTGCCTGCATGACGAGAATGTCATGAACACCGTCTTCTGCGGGACTACTTAAAAAATCGAAATAGCATCTCCACATCAAAGTGGCCTGGATAAGTCGAACGTCTGACTCTGACGTCAATCTCCTGTGTATTCTCTCTCGATGGCACCCGGTCTGTGGAAACCCTCCTTCCAGTGTCAAATGAATCGAGTCGCTCTCCCTAAGGTCATGACACTATAATTGCTCTGAGTGGGGGCATCTATCCGCTATGGTACGGTGGTGCCTTGGACTGATAGGCCTATACTGGAACGCTGTGTCCCTGAGATTCCCTCTTGGCCTCGCTGCTTACCAAGAAAAAACCAACCGTGAAATGAGCGCTAGATTAAACAGATGGAATATTGAACTTGAGGAGGTGATATGTTCGCTCACCATGCAGCTATTGTGCTTTGCGCAAAAAAAAAAAAAAAAAAAAAAAAAAAAAAAAAAAAGAGAGAGAGAGAGACGTGATTTTCCAGCCATGCCAGAGAAGCTCACATATTTATTCAGCCGCAACATTGATTTTATCACCAACATATCCATCATTTTGTGCGTCCAGGTGTGAAACCCGTGGAATCCGTTCATGTATTTGTGTTTTTTCCATCGCTCTCAAGGTCAGTATGTCTGTTTATATTGAATCTCCTGCACTTAAAACATATTTTCCGCGAAACGAATCGTAATTTTTATTGTTTTTATTTTGTTTGTTTGTTTGTTTGAAATTAACTTCCAGGACTTCTGGGAAGATAGAACCAGTAGTCTGTATTCATTTGTGGTATTTGTGCGCCCGAAGCTGCGTACGTAGGGTAAGGTTTTGCGTGCAACTGACGAACGGCACCACCAGGTGTCATAGCTACATGGCTTCTCACCTCTGAAAATCAATATTCGATTTGATTTGACGTGTTTCCACATTCACTACCATAAGGACCTTTCTGAGAAAGGCCTGGTTGCCCTGAGGTCAGCTGGTATGAAGAATGGTGGTATTGTCACAGGTCAGGTTAGAGTTCGCTTTTGGAATGTTGAAAAGGTCTCTGTAAAATAGTTACCTATCTTCATTACGAATATGTTTAGATTACACACAAACTGCAGAGCTATATATAGCAGTACAAGGCTATTTAGCTCTGTATTCACTTTGACCTGAGTGGTTGTTGGATGCGGCATTGGTTCGCGATGGCTTTTGGACTGCTGTGTTTGTCAGCAAGGTGACAAAGCCCATGCAAAAAAGCATCGTAGATGTATTTGTTTGGCTCGGACCACCAAACCTCCCGCCATTCGCTAAATATTCAATATCCGTACGGAGTATAGGTAGACAGAACTGTGTATTGCTCAAGAAAACGTGATCTGACTCCTGCTTAAAAAGCTTCTAGATATTGATACTAAGGCAGCTGTCCTAATAAATGTCTATTTAGCATCCCACTGTCAATTGACACTCTTATTTGCGCATTCTCTTTCTTCATCGTCGGAAGTCCACTTAAGTCAAGACCACGCCACCTATTCAACCTCACCCCACTCGTCCCGCTGCTGTAACTTACTGCGCTGTACCGGGCTTTCTTGGAGGACGTGTTTTACAGCGCATACGTCCCGCCAGTTTTGTTTCAAGTTGTTCCAATCCCCTAGCCAGGATTAGCCTCTGGTATAGATATAACCGGGTTTAGCTCCCTCTCAACACTCAACAACTAAACGAGAAGTGGCAGTTTGGGAACTTGATATCAAAGTCCAAGTGCTAGAATACGTCAGCTTTGCATGTTCACAGCAGCGTATTTATATCTCTAAACCGCTTAGAAAAAGTACCAAAGAATCAATAAAATACCCCCCAAGCTTTGGTTTACGGAAGATTCATTCATATTTCGACGAAGATACCCAGCAAGGCATCTTGCTTAACAGCACCAACAATGTGCATAGCCCTTATTTCAACCGCCCACCCTTCCTACCCCCTTATACTAATCGATAACCGAGATGTATGTATACTATCCATTCTAACGGAGGACCCCAAATACAATCCCCCCCAATTACTCCTCGTAACTTCCATTGCATCTTAACAACAAGCCAGGAATTCCTCCACCGCCCAACAGCCCCCGCCAACTGGTGGCCCGAGGACAAATCTCACGTGCTGGCCTCTCGTGACTTAGCACGAGCAGTCCACGGCACCTGGCTAGGCGTTACAAAGCAAGGTCGCATTGCCGTGCTGACAAACTATCGCGACGACACATACAGCCAGATAGTAGGTGTCCGCAGCAGAGGCTCTATCGTCAATTCATACCTCGAGCTGCCTCCAGACAGCAAAGTCAGCGCCAAGGAGTATGCCGAGGGTCTTGTTTCTGGCGGTGAAGCGCATCTGGCGGGTGGCTTCAGTCTTGCCTGCGGGACTGTGCGCGGGCCGCTAGCTGTCGTTTCCAACCGAGTTTCCGCAGCAGATGGCATCGAGTGGATTGCGAAGGAGAAGGGACAGACAATCGGGTTGAGCAATACTGCCTTTGGAGACCGCTCGTGGCCAAAGATTGTGGACGGCGAAAGACTTATGAGAGAGGCTCTTGATGTCTCTGTGAAGCTAGAGGAGAGTGAGGAAGCGCTTATTGACCGGCTGCTGGCGGTGCTGAGCAGGGATACATTGCCGAGACTGCACGAGGGCGGGAATTTGGAAACGTATATCAATCTGTTGCGGGAGAGCATATTTATCCCTGTTATTGGGGATGATAGCGAGATTGAACACACTGTCGATGAGGTGTGTACGTCGAAGTTGCATGAGAAGGTGGACTTGGTGGCCAACGGTCCGCAGGATCACCATGCGTATATGAAGGGTTTGTATGGGACGCAAACTCAAACAGTTGTTCTTGTGCATGAGTCTGGCCGGGTGAAGTATTTTGAGCGGACGTTGTATAATCATCGGGCGGAGCAGATCCCCATTGGAAAGGGAGATAGAGCATTTGAGTTTGTTGTTGAGGAATAACGACTGGGCTAATAATCGAAGTGTCTATAGAAAAAGAATGTCCAGCTATTTAATGGGTTGATTATTATTGGTGTCTCTGCGGAAATTTTCTTGCATGGGATTTTGATTTTATTTTGGTGCTTTGGGAACATATGCCTTGGAATCGCCAGTCCTGCAGAGCCTGGCAAAGGTACGGGAAAGAAATTCTCCCTGTTCTTTCATTTGATCAACCGTAGGCTAATCTTCTATCATACAGATCCGCTCATAATAATCCCCCTGCTCCAATACAGCACAAACTTCCGCATCCCCAAAGCCTAAAAACCAGTTTTCAAAGATAGCAGCGCATTTGTATTGTCGCCAGCTGATACATTTTGCATTTCCAAATCCAGCAAACGATCTTTTCTACGGAATATCCATCGACAAGCATGAAATTGCACCCTACAACCATGTAATGTACAATTTATATCACGCAACAAAAGTTTTCCTGTTCATTCTATTCTCTAGTTAGATAGGCAGATGAAATGCCTAGCATCCGTTATCCATCGTCCGTCGTTCTCGGACGATTATTCATCACCTCTACGCCAGATGGCGGAATGTACTAAGAAAAGGTTCACGACGGTTTCGCGATACCGCTTACATTATTCTATTAGTTACTAACCTTCTTAGATTAGTCTTTATTTTAAAATATAAACAGTTACCACATGATGTCTATCCGTTATCTTTTCCTTCATTAGCTTTCATCTCTCCATTCTCTGCCTCCTATGCCGCTCGATTTGTCATATTTGATGGTGCTTTTTTGCAAACTTAGCTGTTTGGCTTTTTTTATTTTGGTTATTACTCCCATTTATTCATTGGTTCAAGGGGGAGATGTATACAGATATTGGAAATCAAGTTTACAGATAATAATAAGGAAAGTGAATGGAGAAATTAGTGGGGGCTATCTGTTCATATTTGCGTATATTTGTCAATAGCATTAACGGACGTAAGAATTTTATATCTTCATCATTATGAGGGTGAGTGATTGTATATAGATATCTATAATTATTGCATCGCAATAACAGCTAGAAGCAGAATGTATTATCAATAACAATGAGGGGGCTTTAGCAATCAAAATACCGTTTAGATATCCAGATAATACAGCCAACACATTCTCAATCCTCTTATCAAAAGTTCTCAGCCCCCTGTCAAATCTTCCTCTTAACCAACCCCCGAAAGAAATCAAAACTATTACTATTACTCTGCAACTCCCACCTCTTACCCGTTGGCTGATCCTCCCACCCCAACTCCTCCGCCACAAGCAATCCATAATCGCTCGTAATCCCCTTGATGCGTGCACGCACCGCACCCTCCGCTTCCAGCGTCACGATCTGATCCATATGCAGCCAGTCAGCATAGTACATGTCGAGGAAATGCTGGTCAAAGCCCGTGCGCAGGAAGCGGGTGTAGAGCGATTCGAACTTGGTGAGGATGCTGGCGAGGAGTCTTTCGAGAGATAGGGGGGGGAGGGGCTTGTTGCCATTTTTGGAGGTTTGGGAGGGTAGGATGGAGTTGAGTGAGGTAGTTGGCGAAGTGTTTAGGGCGTTTAAGCCGATGCCGACGACGGCGATGTATTGTGCAGAGGAGTAGTGGGCGTTTACGAGTATGCCGGCTACTTTAGTGTAGAACTTGTTGTCTGGTTGGGTGGGGTCCAGGGCGTCTAATTAGGAGTAATTAGGAGAGAATTGATTTGAAAGTAGTAAGGAGAGGTACGGGAGTGAGGGGGTATATTTACAGATATCGTTGGGCCATTTTAGCTTTACTGGCATGTTTTCGTATCCTCTATCGTACCTTTTGATACCCTGGATGATAGCAATGGCGGCAATGTATTGTATAAATACCACGGGAGCGCGGTTCATGTTCTCGACTGAGTGCTTTACGACAGTTGAAAACATCAGTTGGCCGGACGGGGACACCCAGACGTTGGATCCGCGGCCTCGCCCAGCCAATTGGACGGTAGCAGTAGCTACAAATCCCTGTGGAAGTCTTCGTAGTAGTTGCGTATTCCTAGATTTATTTAAGCTTCTGGAATTGGGAGGAGAGGGAGAGGAAAGGGGAAAGGGGAGACCGTGAGATAGTCAAATTCGTACTTCTCTAGAAGGGTGTTTGTGCTGGTGACAACCTCTCCATACAATATATTGGAACCAAACTCATGAATGCCATCTTTCGACTGTGCACGATACTCATTGAGATTAGCGTAAAATGCATGGTGATTGAAATAAGGGGTAGTTTTGGACGAAGGAGTGTCGTCGTGGATGACTATTTCTTTAATAACAGAATTATAATCGACAACTCTGTCAGGATCACCTTCTTGGCCAATTTTCTCTTCGGTAACTTTAGGGAGGGATTCAGCTACTTCCTTCATCCCCATGGAAGAAGGTTCCTCCAGGTGAAATGTATCAACGTCATCCTTGATATATTCCTTTCCATCAGTCACTGTAATAATATCCCGTAGTTTTGAGATCAAACCAACAGCCCCCTGAGGATCCACAGAGGAAAGATGCAGACGTGATAGCGATGGCACCGTAGACGAGTCTTGGTTAACCCGAAGACCTAGCTTCATTAGACAAGCCTTCAAGAAATCCACCCTTGATTGATCATCTGCAGCCAACGCATCCACGACATTCCCATAACCTGGTCCATCGGCATTTCTGTCAAGATTCGACGCAGCAAATCTGGGCTTCGTCAGCTCCCAGCTATCAACAGGCTTTGCGGGAAATACGAACTCTGGATGAGGTCCGGTCAGTATTGCTGCGCCCTCGCCCACCTTACAATAGACTATTGCAGCAGCACCCTCTCCGGAATTCACTTTGAGCTCTTCCGTGTAACTCGCAAGAACCGTGACACCTCTGTCTGCATACTTGGGCGCATCAACGAAGACACCCCCACCATTGTGATATGACTTGAAAATCTCAGGCACGGATCCACAATCCAACGAAGACTTGGATACCTTGAGCTCAGCAGCTCGAGCGCCATCTTCGCTATCGTAGACAAACCCCGGAAAAACGCATCCGCGACATATGCCGGGGAAAAAGCCCAACTCCCTGTCGCCAATAACCTCTAGTTTCTTGTTCCCGACCTCAAACTCACATCGTTTGCTGGCATAGTAACCCCCTGCGCAGAGGCCCAGGTATGCACCGCCCCGCTGGACGAATTGGCAGATTCTCCTGTTCCCTTCTCCGTTTAGAGTCTTGCAATATGGCAGGTCAGCGCCACCAGGAATAACCAGCAGGGCGCATGAAGCAGTCCAAGGCTCGCTTATGATCATGTCTCCTGTGACGGGGATCACGGCGTAGTTTGCAGCCAGGAGCTGGCGCAGGGAGTATAGACAGTAGCGGACGGCATCGATGGTGGTTCCATTTCCTGGCGCAGGGGGGGTCAGAATATTGCCTTTCCAATCAGAGTAAGTTTGCGCACCGGAGTAGACCAGGACGTTCAGCTTTTTGGAGAGGAGGATGGGGTTGGTGGTGGTCATCCTTTTTTTTTTTTTTTTTTTTTTTTTTTGTAGTGTCACTTGAGGGGGGGATAAATAACTATTGTCCTGATCCTCCGAGGGACTTCAACACCACTCTTCCAACCACGAATATAAACTGTGCGCTTCCTCACAATGTCCAAAGCAGAGGACAAGTCGCCGGTAACGCAGGCCGTGGATGATGATGAACCGGATGAATGGTATGGATTCTTCTTCTCTAACTTTTGTCTGGTCGGGGATCTCGGCTCTTTGCCTGGTCGACTGACTCTTTTGACCAGGGATAAACGGATCTTCAGCACCGGATGTGCAGGTATTTAAGGATGACCCCTTGTAGCGAAGAGATAGAGAGAGACTCTAACGGGATGCCATTTTGGGCGGGTTGAATAGCGGAGCAGCTGAAGATGAACGATTGTTACTTTGAAAAGAAGGACTGGCGAGCGTGCAAGAAAGAAGTAAGTGAGAGATGAGGATGGGGTTATTCATTTGAATATTTAAATATTTACAACCAAGGACATCCAAACCCCGCAGACAATTGACCTCAACCCTTCGTAGAGCCTGTCACAGTCTATTGCAGCATCCTACATGTCGGTGCTAATGTTCATATGCTGACTCTGGTTGTTCTATTTCTCTACAGATGGAGGCATTTCGCGAGTGCTGGAAACGCCACGGCAATGAACAGCGGACGGAATCAAAGGACGCTTCATAAAACATATGGCCAGGAATGAGATGAAAGGGGTAATTCTACTGCGAGTGTAAATATATGAGAAACTTCCCTCCGATACATGTATAAACATTAATTTAGTTTATTCAATTTTGTTCGTATCTTTTTATCCCTATGAAGCCTTGATGTCACATGATCCGACTTCGAACGGCAAAAAGAAATTTCTGCAGAAAATTATATATATCCACGGATTGATCAAAATACACAGACCACATTCAACATTATCACAATATCAACAATCCAACCATTGATAATTAAACTGACCCTGGCTAGCATTTAGCCAGTCAGGTTACCCCGTATAATGGCATCTCGTGCTCTGCGCAGAGTTAATTGGACTACAGAGCTGCTCCAACTCCCCCGAACACAGTTCTCCCATATCCCATTCCGCTCCATCATCAGCTCACCCACCTACCGCCAGTCACAAAATGCAACAGCTAGAGCATCTACAGCCTCTAAACCGTATCGATCCTCCACTAGCTCTTCTAAACCACTCTCCTCCAACTCTACCTCGAATTCTACCTCCAACCCCAACTCCACGTCGACCACGCCCGAGTCAAAACCCGCCCCAACCGCAGCCAACGTCCAGAACATCAGCAAGTCTGGGCTAGCTGATGATCTTGCAGATATCGATATCTCAGGTGTTAACACTAACAATAATAACCATATCGACTGGACGCGCTCTTTTCACGGCCTCAGCGCCGAGCCCTTCTCAAAGGAAGCCGCTGAAGTCCTCACCCAAGAGATAAACCCGGATGACGTCGAGATAAAACCGGATGGCATCGTTTATTTACCCGAAATAAAATATAGACGCATACTTAATAAAGCATTTGGGCCCGGTGGTTGGGGCCTTGCGCCGCGGAGTGAGAGCATTGTCACAGCTAAGACGGTGACGAGGGAGTATGCGCTTGTTGCGCATGGCCGGTTCGTAGAACCCCTTATTTCCCCCTCACTTTCCCCCTTCTTCCTATCCAACAATGGCATATATGCAGCTACATAAACCTAATGAACTTCAACAGCCTTGTCTCCGTCGCCCGCGGTGAACAGGACTATTTCTCCCCCGACGGCATACCGACCGCGACTGAGGGCTGCAAATCCAATGCCATGATGCGATGTTGTAAAGATCTAGGCGTGGCCAGCGAGCTATGGGACCCGCGCTGGATCCGCCAGTTTAGAGCCAAGTATACCCGTGAAGCGTTCGTGGAGCATGTGACGACGAAGCGCAAGACGAAGATTTGGCTTAGGAAAGGTGACCCTGTGTCGTATCCGTGGAAAGAGACCAAGTGAGGTGGTGTGTTGATTGATGTGATATAGGTGTTATATGTGTGGATTGAACGGGGAGAAATCCAATTTCTGTCATTGGGATTTGCATGGGTGGAAATGGGAACGGGGAGGGAGGGGAGTCTTAAAAAGGCCCCTGGATGTGTCTAGTTGTCTACGATGCCCTCTGAGCAGAAGAGATACCGGAATCCGAATTAATCCCACAAACTGGTCGCTGTTCCAGAAAGGGGTATATCCGTTCCCATTCCTGTTGCAAAGAAACTCCTCCGAAGGTCTCGTCACCACTTTCCATGCCTCCATAATTCCCCCCCCCCCCCCCGGTTGCACAACCATCCATATCCACTACCAGTCATATCCCCCCATTTCTACTTACACTCCTCCCTCGTGTTAGTGGCTTGAAAAACTGACTCAATCAACGTGCCTTCGCCGCTATCCTGTTTTTTTTCTTTTCTTTTTTATTTTATTTTATTTTATTCTTTTCTTTCAAATGAGCAATGCCTTATACCCTGCTTGTTCACAACATCAAGACATTTTCAACAATCTGCACGGCACATATCCCATCATTATCTCTTATGATTCATTACCCTATTATGTCTACCTCTTCATTGATTGGTTGACTTGTATGTATCTGGAATGGGCTGGCTCTCTTAATCATTGCCCTCCTCATTCCTCTCCTTCTCTCTTGTAATAAGCATTGACTTGTATGATAAATAAGAAGTTACACAGGTGTCCTGTAGGTCTCTTATATGATAGATAATTTAATTGGCATCTGGAATACATGCACGTAGCTTTTGCAGGTTTTGTTATCACAAAATAACTCCTGCTAGCACCTACATGTAGGTATAAATCGTGATTATCCATGCGACCTGACGCCCGTAGGGTCAATGGTCTTAAAAGGCTGAGTTGACAAATCAAAAAATATCAATATAATTATACATCTATCTCGGGTGAGGAGAGGACACAAAAGGAAAACAGACACATCAAACTCTGACGGCATTCTCAAAGTAAATAAATGATATATTCTTATTCTCAAAAGAAAAAAAAAAAAAAAAAAAAAAAAAAAAAAAAAAAAAAAAGAAGCAAAGTAGTGAGCAAGCAGATAGTCCAGCAGCTGCTGCATGTAGATAAATTGGTGGCAGCATGCGAAGAACGACCTGCCAAAAAAAAATATCCAAACTCTGTAAATCTATCAACCATCCCCTTCAGAAATCTCAGAAATCTAAAAAATCGGACCATCTCAAATCTCAGTTCTAATGCAAAATTAAGACAGGAAAATGCAAAGAAAACCATCCTTCCCCTTCTAAATGTCTTCAAAATTTTCTTTTTACCTTTTCATTTCGTTCATAAATTATCTTGGCTGCTGATGCTGTGATGAAAACACATTACCCCCCGACGCCAGTCGTTCCCCAGATGGTGCTTACGTCTGCAACCTGGGGTCCGCACTGGCATTCGCAGGCGGAGCACCGCCGTCACTAACATACCCAACAGCCGGATGTGGCAAGCGAGGTGATGAAGTCATAGGCGATTGGCAGGGTGCATATGAATATTGGTATTGGTGTTAGTAGGGGGATAATACGGGTTTTCATCTTCAGGAGAGCTATTGAATGGTGTTGAGAATTCGTAGTACTCTGCCGCTGGATTTGGGTTACGTTGGATGGATTGTAGTGGGACGGAACCTGCCGGTGTTGCTGATGATGGGGAGGATTGTGGTGGTTGTGGGAATTCGTCGATGGGGGTATTAGACGATAAAAACCTGGCTGGTGTGCCGGAGCTTGCACCTCCTGTTCGCCGACCGGTGGAGATCACACGTTGGATGGATGAGTTTACGTTCTGTTTCGGTGAGCCAGCACCGCCTTTACTTCCAACTTTTACGCTTGGATTGTTAATAGGGGAAGTGGTGAAATCTTCACGGAAAATCTCAGATTCGTCAACGCGTGCCTGGTCCATGGCTGGAGGGCGAGAGTTCAGCGCTTGGGCTAGAGATGATTCCGTGTGTTGAGGGGATGAGTTTGAGGCACCGCGGTAGACAGTCGTGCCGCCTGGGGTCTTGGCCTCGACAGCCGAGGATTTGCCCTGGGAATCGCCCAAGTTGTCGTTGGCTTGCGCGCTTAAATATTCATCCACCTCATCCGTTGGAACCAGCCGTTTCCTTTCCTTTTGCGTAGCCCACTCCTCCTTGCTCACTTCGGCGTGCTCAGGGGATATCGAGACGGAATACGACGGTCTTCCAATGTCACCCAGCGCCGCGTCTCCGCCACCAGGTCCATAGATGGGAATTTTGCGAACGGCAAGGACCAAAGCGCACATGAATTTCGACCGACGGGAAGCTCGCACAGTTTCATTTGACCAGTTGGATTTGTGGCGGATTTCTACTCTCAGCTGCAGCTTGTCCATCTCGCCAAGGCCAATAACTTCAATGTCAATGTCTGGTTGGAAATCGCGGCTGTTTTCCTTGTCACGGACAAATTTTAGCATCTCAGCTTTCAGTAGCTGGATATCACCGAATGAGGTAGCAAAGTCTACAGTCAGGGTGATCTGCTCGCGCATGGCCTTTGAGCGAGTGACGTTCTCAATCCACTGTGTATTGAGAACTATGTTTGGCGCTTGGAAAGTCTTCTGATCTCGAACACCCCGGAAAACTGTGTAGAGGAGAGAAATCTGTTCCACGACCAGCTGACGATCTCCAATGTCTACTCTATCTCCTACGTCCATTGCGTGCTTAACGAAGAGAAATATCGTGCTCCCAAGAACCTCTTGGGCGGTTGTAGCAAAGACAAAGGACATAGAGAGAAGAGCAGTGGCACCCGCAGCGAGAGTGGTGCCGAATCCGCTATTGAGAAAAGCAACTATAAAGCAATGTGTTAATGCAACCGTTATATGTGCAAGAGAAAGAAGAAAAGAGCCTAGTAAAAACATACCGAAAACTAAGACCACTATGATAAAGACAATAGTGCATAGGAGGTTGTCGAGTACGTGGATAGCCTGATCGACATCATGCATGCTGTGGTTGATTGATTTCTTGACCCTGCCAAACTCAGTAACGGTGAGAATCATCTCCTCGAGACTGACATCGCCGTTATCATCTCTGTCAAGTGCAGCGAAGCACTCTTTCGCCTCTTCCTCCCGACCCGCACCGAGAACCTCAATAATATCCTCTAGGTAAAGAGACTCTCGACCCTGAAGAACAAAGGACATCCACAAGCGACGAGCAAGTGCCTCAGAGGATTTACGCTTCTCAAGGGCCAAGGTGACAATAGAGTGAGCAGCGGTTGGATTAAAGACCTGTTTCCCCGTTATCTCTTGGGCAACATTACCAAAAGCAGCGGTGATCTTGTCCCCGACTCGTCCCACGCCATGAATCAAGCGCATTGGGGATGCAGAACCAACCCGCTTGTGGCCTTTACCAATCTTTGCGATGGGGTCGTTAATTACAAAATCTTCCTCTTCGAACTCCGGGCAATATTCAGGGAAGAGCGTGCGCGACGCGTCATAAAGCATACTAAGGAGTTGTATGTTGTGTTTAGACTCCTTGATCCTCATCTCGAATTGTCTTCGGTGGTACGTGATGGATATCAGTTGGATCAGAAGTTTTTCAACGGCCAGGATCAAAGTCGAGATAAATGCAGCAAACAGAATATTCTTGACTACATTTTGCCAAGGTTTAATACCCGTATCATTGGAAGCCCGTTCGTCTGGGTTTCGTGTCA